ATACCAAATGTAAATGGCCAATCCCCAGAAGTTGGTAGACTGGTTGGTTTATGGTGTAAACCCAAATGTAACGGGCCAATCACCAGAAGTTGGTAGACCAGTTGGTGTATGGTGTAAAACCAAATGTAAATGGCCAATCACTAGAAGCTGGTAGACTAGTTGGTTTATGGTGTGAAACCAAATGTAAGTGGCCAATCACCAGAAGTTGGTTGACTAGTTGGTTTACGGTGTAATACCAAATGTAAATGGCCAATCACTGAAAGCTGGTAGACTAGTTGGTTTATGGTGTGAAACCAAATGTAAATGGCCAATCACTAGAAGCTGGTAGACTAGTTGGTTCATGGTGTAAAAACAAATGTAAATGGCCAATCACTAGAAGCTGGTAGACTAGTTGGTTTATAGTGTAAAACCAAATGTAAATGGCCAATCACTAAAAGCTGGTAGACTAGTTGGTTTATAGTGTAAAACCAAATGTAAATGGCCAATCACTAAAAGCTGGTAGACTAGTTGGTTTATGGTGTAAAACCAAATGTAAATGGCCAATCACTAAAAGCTGGTAGACTAGTTGGTTTATGGTGTAAAACCAAATGTAAGTGGCCAATCACCAGAAGTTGGTAGACTAGTTGGTGTATTGTGTAATACCAAATGTAAATTGCCAATCACCAGAAGTTGTTAGACCAGTTGGTGTATCGTGTAATACCAAATGTAAATGGCCAATCATCAGAAGTTGGTTGACTAGTTGGTTTATGGTGTAAACCCAAATGTAAGTGGCCAATCACCAGAAGTTGGTTGACTAGTTGGTTTATGGTGTAAAACCAAATGTAAATAATCATTATTTTCATTGTTACATGTATTTGTAGTCCATTGTTGAACTATATATACAATTCATCTGTTGCAGTTATGCATTATCTGACAACTGTGAAGTGAAGACAAATGTAACTGCAATCTTATATGTATGGTAACAGTAATCAGCAGCTGGGCAAATTCCTTATGTTATCACATACTGTATATCAAGTGAGTTGGTCAAAATGTACAAGATAGATGTCTAGTCTCCATTAATATCCATCACATTTTATATGGGTTAGGGATCAAAAGGTCTGAAGAACTTATTTTAACATATTGTCCTTCGAATTGTTGCGTAACTTCTTTCTGATAACTGTCTTTCATGTTTTTTGAGAATATTAGCTGAACACTAGAGGCATTTAGATATAAATGGACAGAAGCATTTTCATTGCAAGATTTTCAGATGGTATTTTTACGCTCTCAGCACATGTATGTGAATGTTAGCAATGACATGGAACCTGCTTGTCAGATGTGAAAACAATTTTGCATCAGTCAACAAGATTTAATTTATTCCTATATTTGAATGAAACATCTAAGCAACAAAACCGCTATGATTGTTTCACTGTAAATAATTCAAATAATTTCCTTTCTTCTGGAAATGCGTTTTCACATTGTACACATAACTAAAATATAAGTGTCTTTGATATGCCAAAAAAAATTTACAAAAAAATTCTGTCTTCATAAGCTTTCACTTAAACTGTATTACATTTTGTGGTGTTATACATTTGTCAAATGTGCTCTATTAAAAGCATATGTGTTTATGTAAATGACAAAGTGGTGGTCAAATGCATATTTCTAAATTCAATATATGCAATTTTAGAATTGTGTGCGCTTGTGCTGAAGATGTGTTTTCAGTAGAGCAATACAGTAATTGAATTAAATGTTCTTAACTGTGTTATAACAGGGATCGGGTTGGATGTTTGATTGAATACTGTCATATTATCATGCAATAATTGGCAGTGTGGAGCCCTTTATTCCCTAAATACTCTTCTACCATCCTGTCAAGACACTTTATACGGTTGACCTTCGACATCAGTATAATCAATTAAATGTTCCTATTATGTTTTTTGCTTTAGTTACATGTATGCTTGGAGGGGATAAAGATGCCACACATGTATTGTTATAGCCATTAAAGAAAAAGATGAAAACCAATGTCATGTTCAGTGGGCACCTGGTTGCATTCTTATGATAATGTCATTCAAAAGTCATCACCATGTCTAAATAGCTAACAAGTAGTTTAGCATTCATATATGTGGACCTTTTACAACTGATATAGTTTGACAGTGTTCGGGTTGCTTTGATGTAAAAACTGACTGTGTATACATTCATTTATACCGTCATCCGTGATCAGGGACAAAACATTGAGATTAAATGATCCATGTCTGCAATTGATGCTCTAGAAGATAAAGATGTTACTTTATCCACTTCAAGATTTTCAATAGCTCTGCAATTATAGGTTTTACCATTTTGCTATCAATGGATTTCTATCAGTTTCTATTGTGTGTCTTGTGTGCCAGAAGTGATCTCTTAATCCTGCTGTTGTGTTCTGGTGCCAAGTGTCTCGGTGCTTGTAGGCAGTGGCGAACACATTTAATAATGTCTAGCTGATCATGCTTTATTCGTAGCGCATGCGAATAATTATAATGGAAAGAAACAGATTTTGATGTACAAGCAATGGAAATTAACATCTATAAATGACAAGTAAAAAATCGCAAGTCGACTAGTGCGAGACTGGAACCCATGACCTTCATTATGGCGGACTGCATAGGGAAAATTTGGATACATAGCAAGATTAGCCATGGTCTTACCTTTCATTTAGCATATAGTGCACATGTGTTTCTGTGGTCAAAATAATTCAGCAATAATTGCAATTTTTGCGATTTATTAGCAGTTTATTGGAGATGTACTACTTATAGGGCATATATGGTTACAGGTATATAGTTTCATGGGTACCATAATGCTTAATTAGAAATGTATCTCCTACAGAAGTACATGCAAACGACTGCATGTATTGTATACTCAATCATATAAATATGACTTATTTAGACCATAGACACAAAACTGTCATTTACATTTATAGTAGATGATGTTATGGTATCATAACTTTCAATGCAATAAATAAAATAGAATTTTAAAGTCGATTACTAAAACATTGCACTAGATGTTACTCAAGTTCATTGTGAAGGCCAGTTTAACCAACACAATTATTGAGACAATGCACCAATCAAAGCAAAGGACGACATTAAACGTTACAAGGCAACTAACTAGCTGCCTGAAAAACTGACGTGAGGATTTTCTCAGGCATTGGATATAATGCTTGGTGCATTGCCCCATGAACTGCCTTGTGTAATATGGCCTTTAGTAAGCCTGTTTATCTTAAGAATACCCACAGCGGGCAAGGTAACCACAGTTTTACTATGTTTTCTGTTAGTACCATTGTAGGCACAGGTGACATCTCCCCATGCAGATTAGTTTGCTTTAATTGATGCATTCACTTTATGCCATACCAGATGGGGTTAGCAGAAAACAATGTACAAACATAGCATAACAATGACTGAAATCTTATATTTTTTCTGTTTCTGTTTTATGTACAATCAGCTCGTATTGGCAGAGTTCGTTTAACAGAGAAGGAAGTGACCAAGATGTTACACAGCACACCGACTAAACGCAAGGCATCATCTAAATTATTTAGACAGTTAAATGATAAAGGTAAGAACAACATTCAATTATTTGTAGGGATATGATTAAAAAATATTTGGTTTTGGTATTTTGTGCATTACATTTAATGCCTTCATAAGTTTGTGCTTGTGAATCCCCTATTAGATGTAGTTATTCAGACTTACTATTGACATCACCCATGGTAGGTTATTTAAAATTATCTATAGATGTAATATTTCACTTTTTGATTCAAATTGGCCGTAATATTACAATAATAATAAAACTGTCTGTATATTTGTTTTACTGCTATCTCAAAAAGCAATAATCATATTTCAATAAATAATGGTATGTACAATCTCTGGAAAAACATACAGATGTTTTAGGTTGAAATCTATAATACTATATTCTTATGTTTTACTGTTGGTCTATGATATTAATTTTCACCATGGACAATTCCTTTATTCTCATCAATCAAGACATATTTTTCCTGTATGAGAATATCATTACATGTGTTTTAATACTTTTTTACTACATGATATTTGCTAATGAGTGGTCGAAAAATCAAGTCATTGAGCTTGGACTTGGATTCCTGGGATCATGTCATGTTTTGATTCACAGTACCTAGTGGTTAGCGGTATAGTGAGCTGTTGCCTGTCATATCATGTTGAAATCTGGCGATGTCCCTGTCTGCTAATTGTTAATGACAAAAATAAAACCCTCGTGAATGTAATATATATTGAGCTATATTGATAAATGACACTACATTGTGTGTGTAATACGCTTGGTTTCACTTTCATTTCAATTTTATTCATTGAAGATACATCCCAGACCTTATGTCAGTATTCATGATGGGACCCCCAAATTTCAGCAACTAGTACGTCATATGATAATATTTCATCACTGGGTCTTTTATAACCCTTCCACTTAATACAATACATGTATTAACTGGTAAAAATTCTGAACTTGTTACAAAACTAATTTATCAAAATGCCTCCCTTGACTGTATCAATTGCCAGCTGGACAATGGTGACATTGAACAGACCAATGCAACAGCCATACCCATAGTACATTGCAAGTTAATATTTCATCACTTAATACAATACATGTATGAACTGGTAAAAATTCTGAACTTGTTACAAAACTAATTTATCAAAATGCCTCCCTTGACTGTATCAATTGCCAGCTGGACAATGGTGACATTGAACAGACCAATGCAACAGCCATACCCATAGTACATTGCAAGTTAATATTTCATCACTGTTAGTTTTACATTGAGATGAATAGTAATTACTTTTGATATTCAACTCAGTTTTCATAACATAATGCATATTTCAGACTCATTAGTTCTCTTTTATAAGACATTACACTCTACTGATTGGACTGGTAAAACCATGTAATGTGTTTTGTGTGTACCCAGTGTAATAGGAATCTGTAATTTTAGACGGCACTGCTCACCTTAGTTATTATATAAGTACATCAATGCTGAAACCTGTAAAGTTCCAAACTTCAATCTGAAGTTTCACTGTTGACCTGAGTGACATTCTGGTCATTCCTTCAGTGTGTATTTCTTCATCTCTTAGTGCAGATAGATCGCCACATTGTTCCCAACTCTCAATGTTGACAAATACATTACAACACTCGCAACCAAAAACATTCTTCTGTTACTGCTGATCACAGTCCTTCTATAGATTGGTCTGGAATCCACTGTTGTTAGAGGTGTGAATTACTTCAATTTTATATACAATTCTTGGTTCGAGTACCTCAAAGTGCGTGACTTAAATTGATATTCCGATAGTTTGAAATCAGTATAATATCATGTGCTGGTTCAAGTTGGATTTTGATTCATATAGTGTGCATATCGGCTCCATAGTGATTGTGCGTATGTATATTTTGATCATGTCAGTTATATGAATATGGGCAAACCATGCAGTTTAGTTGCCTTTATAATTTAATATGAACATAGAAATTACAAGTCTTGCATACGAACACTTCATGCTGAACACAAACGAAAAACTTTTATAAAATCATACTTCATACCACAGTCTCTATTACAATTGTATGCGAAAATGTAAGTATCATTAAACCAAATAATTTGAAACTTGCATGAGATCTCACTTGTCGTTTTCACATAGATTTTCTCATTTGCTGCTCAAAAGAGCAGTCTCAGTTACATGTACATGAGCACTGTAAGTTAACTTAGATATTGAAAGTCTGTTTAAATCACAAACATATTTTGATTGCACTTCACCTCTAGAGGCGGTGGGGTGGGGGGGGGGGCATACTTACATGTACCTCAGTCTAGGGCTTTTTAACATTGTTTTTTTTTTCCAGAAATTTTGGCTTTAGAAATTATGTTGCCTCAAAATACTGAATTCAATGAATTCAACCACTGTTTAGATATATGCAAATTTAAAATAAAAGGTTGTAGTTATTCAGCTGTACATGTAGCTTCTACTCTTTGCAACAAGTGTGTTACACTGAGGATAGAAACTCCTATATGCAGAAGGGCTGCAACCCTTCCTGACTGGACACTGACAAGTGAACAGCAAGTAAAATCTGTATTAGAAGCTGCGTCTTCTATTAAATGCAACAGAGGGGATGTGAGACCCTGACACATTGTTACTGCTACAAAATTTCACCGTTTTCACTGTCTCGCTAAAATTGTTCTCCCATGAAACTAAAACATTTTACAGTATATTTACAGTATAGCATGATTAGTTGCCGATTCATATTGGACAAGTAATGAGACTGCCATGCAAACAAACTAAGCCAAGCGCTGTATGAAACAAATTGAACTGAGAGAAGTAATGTTTGGCTATGTGAATCAAATGTGTATGCATCCAACGGCCCGACTTGGAATCGATAGTAAATTTGTAAATAGCGTTTGAGTACAGTATGAGTCAGAACTACTTGACATGCTTGTTTATGTATTCCTCCTGGGATACATTGCATGCTAAATGAGTCATCACATATTATGTTGGATCTCCTCCAACTCTATCAAGACAGTGGTGACTTAATGTCACATCAAAGTTTTTGTTTATCAGCAATTGTCATATTATATAATTGAATAGCGAAAGTCTTGTAACATATGATGCCAAATGTTACAATAGCAATTTGGTTTTGGTTAAAAGAAATTCTTTTTTATATATATCATTCCATTAAATTGTACAAAAGAGAGTAAAGTTTTGTGTAAAGTCAATTATCTGCCTAACTTTCTCACTTTCTCAATTGATCCCAGTAAATCATTCACAAATTTTTGTGATGAATCACATACGTGTACGTCATTCATATTTAAAGTTTTTACCAAGAAAGAAGAATGTGTTTCCAAGAAAACAAATACAAAATAATCTAAAAAGGGTTCATTTCGGAACATTTACCATAGATAACATGGATATGAATAACATGGATAACTTATACTAATATTTCAAATTCTCCCATTTTTCATGACAGTCATATGTATCTTTTTTTTAGCATAGGTCACCAAACAAAATTGTTAGATATGATTGAATGTTTCTGTTATAGGAACCAATTATAAACTATTCAAAAAATGCAATTTACAAGGTTGTTTTGTGGAAAACTTAGAAACTTAGTTCAATAACCATAAATTTTTATTTCAGATTTTTGAACAATACAATAATCCAACCCCTCTTGCAGAATTTCAAGGATTTCTGAGTATGAGCAAACTACCTCAAAATTCATACAACCTCCAAACTTGATATAGATATAATGAGAACTTTTTATTCCTGATAACTTTGTACACCAAGTGCGTATTATAACTGAACTTCTACATAGTAGTAATAAACGTTGTTGAAGACAACAGACAAAGATGAATCATCAAGCCGTTGACATCCACAGGTCTGGAAAGTTCAGAATACAAAAACAATTTTTCCTCATTTACGTGTTAAGTCCTCTGGGTACTTCTCACTGACTCATACTTCTTGCTAATTTTAGATGTTGTAGTGTTTCCGATACGCTTTTAAACCCCAATATCCTACTTATGTCTATATAGTTAGAGATCAACTGGAATTAACTAATATAAATATTTTGCAGCACAAATACATCTCTGCTTAGTGTCATGAATGAATTTTAGATCAGGTTTTGTCTGTTAGTTTTATTTCAATACAAGTAGGATAAATTGATAAAATAAGTATTTTGGCTTTCTGTAACTATCAATGAATTACTGTAGCTGCATTAATTTTCCATCAAATTTTGTAGCAGTGAAAATTACAGTCAGCGACTTTGAAAAAATGCATTACAAATGCCTTAGAATCTTCAAATCAAGAACATTTCTAGCAGCGAAAATTAGTCAGTGACTTTGAAAAAATGCATTACAAATGTTTTAGAATCTTAAATCGAGACCATTTGTAGCAGCGAAAATTACAGTCAGCGACTTTGAAAAAATGCATTACAAATGTTTTAGAATCTTCAAATTGAGAACATTTCTAGCAGCGAAAATTAAGCATTTTACAGTATTACAAAACTAGCGGTTGATCATGATGGAGTCATGTGACAATAAAATGTCGACACCACAACCTGCGAAAACGTACAACGTACAAATAAAGTCTCTGACAAGTTCTTGAAATCAAAGTTTTTTGAGAATTAGGCACAAAAAAGAACCAGATGAGCTAAATTGGGAAAAAAGTCTGATATCATATCTCCATATTTTAGTTGCATGTATGGTGAAAAAAATCACATGTTGTACGCTCATAATAAGATAGGTACTCTTAATTGTATGCTGATGATTACTCTTTATTATTGCTTTAACATGGATTTTTCTAGAAATTTTTTTCAAAAAATCATTGCATTTTTTAGTTTTCATCTGGTTAATAATAATGAAAAGTTGATGACATATGTTCTAATCAATTATTAAGTGACATTTTGAAACAACATATTGTGATAATTAGTTTGTCTCTATATATTAAGTTAAATATCAACAAATGTTGTTAATGCATCCGGCAAAACAGTATAATCCATTTATGGAACTTTTTCTAAAGTGTAACATTTATGATACCCCCCCTCCGCACTTTTCTGTAGCATGTACATGTAACTGAAATAATATAACTGAAGGCAGAATGTTTTTGCATAAATGTTAGTGTATGTCTAAATTATGATCACAAGAAAGAAAATGTCATAATCATAATCACTTTATTGGGTTACTATTAATAATGTATAAGTGTAATAGTTTATTTCTTCAAAATATTTTTCTTAAAGATTTTTTTGTCTCCTATTTTGAAGTTGTTCCCTATTTTTATTAATGTTTGTATTGTATTTTTTTTTTAAATTTTTGTTTATTGTCATGTATCGATTTTCATCCATTGCAATGTATGTTAAGATTATTATCATATGATTACTGCAAAGTATGCACTCAACTACCAATTAGACGATACAATCACTACGATACTGTTTTATGCATACTTTGCATACTGTAGTAAGGAATAGCTATGTTAACCCAGAGTCCTTTGGTATTCACCGACCAGTAGTAATTGAAATATGGTTTTAATTCAAAACTTAGAATGCACTTTTTTCTTATATTCTTCAATATTTCTGGAAATGAACCCTAATTTTGGAGCCAACAGACAAAATGTGAGACAATTTTCAGTTTTTACTCAAAAAATTTGGCTATTTTTGCCCCAGTCTTCTGAAGGAAAGTGCAGACTATAAATAGGAGTATTTTGTGAATTTGTGATGAAAAGATGGAACTGGTGGTGAAATGGTTAATAATACTAATGGCAGTTTGGGTTGGTAAATATTGTTAATTGCTTTAATTTCACAAGGGACCAATTTGTTGCAGTGATAATTTCTCTGGAGCCGTACAATGTCATTGATTATCATGAAATTTTGTTTTCACAAATGCCATAAAATGATAAAATCATGAAAATTAAGCGGTTTACAGTATACTGCAAATACAAGTGCACATGTAGAGGCATGCTTGCTACTTGATTGATTAATTGGCTGATCCTAACCATTCTAACATTTCAGTTTCAAGAGTATTATAATCACTTGACTTGAACAGGTAACGTAAAATAACACTTGAAGTGAAATAGAGAAACAAATCGGTGTGTTGTTCCATCTCTACTACTTCCTCTATACAAATCCGGAGGTAGAGCACCTACTGAAAGAGATTAATGTTTTGTTTGAAAGCAGAGTTGTTTTTAGAACACTTGATGTTTGAGTGCAATCTAATATCTAAACAGAGGTTGGTTTCACCCTACAGAAATCACATTCAATAATTTATTATTGTTGGTACTTGTCTCCCTTTACTTAAATGAGGTTCACCAGAAAGGCATTCTGCTCGGTTGTGTTAGGTATGTACATAAATTAGAAATGCAACATGTTTTCTGATTTAATGAGTTTGTTTATTCTCACTTTAGTTACAGTCTGTAAACTCTGTAAGAGGGCTTCTCAGTTCTCCTGTTTTAGTTTTTAGTGATCTTCAACTCAAAACACAATTGGTCTTTCTACTCATTTATTTGTGTTTGTGGTAGAGCGTGGCAACTGTTTGCTCCATGTGTGCTCAAGCAAGCAGCAGTGCAAATTGGCAAACCTATTTTGTTTTTCTTCATCAAGGCAAGCATGAAGGAAAGTTGTGTGTTATACCAGCTGTGGTCTAGTTCTAGAAAGGTACTTGTCTTCACCTTCACTGGGGATAAGTTATATTTTGTTGAACAAATCACCTACGACATTGTACGCATAAAGATTCCAAACATTTGAGATTTTGGGTTTTCTCCAAGAAATCGCTATTTGGACGATAACTCTTGTCACCATCCCACTTGTGGTTGATTTATGTGTGTATGTTTTATTCATGTGTACAACATGTATAAATTAAATTATTTTTGTATAAAACCCAGAAAATTGGAAATTCCTAGAATGCACTATTGTTGTGCTTTCCGTCAGAATGATTCCCAGCTTTTAGAACACAGTTACCTAAGAGTTTATTTTGTTTGAATAAAACTAGTGTTAACCACTTAAATTTTGCAAGAGATAGATTTTCCCGGATTTCATGAGTTTTGAAATTTCGCAGTGAAAACTTCTCTGGGGTTCTATGACACCGATTGTTAGTGGCGTTTGTAAAATGTTGTCTTCATGAATGACATAAAATCGTGAAAATTCAAAACAGTAAAATTATACATTCTACAGTATCGGTGGTTATTACATAACCTAGTGAATGATCAAAATGGGTTCATGCGACTTCAAACATGTTGGCTCCGATTTGTGAAGATTTCAGATTCCACAAATGCACAATTAAGCATGACTAGTCCTTGAAATTCAAAATTTGTGGGGATTAGGCATGGAATTTCCTCATAGACTTTAGGAGTTACTGAAGAAAATGTGAAAACAAGGTTTGATGACAAGGTTGTGAGCTCATTCTGTTGAAAGTTTTGACGTATGAGAAATCTGTATTAAATTATACTGTTTGTTTAAAGTTGTAAAACCTGAGATCGTTTCTTCAACATTCTTCAAATGATAGAATCAAAATACTAGTTCATTTGATTCTAGTAATAGTACAGAATTCCGACTAAAATCAGGTGAAAACATTTTTATGTACAAAATAAATAAGACAATAATTAACACCTGTAAGGTGTCTCATAATTAATTATTCACATTTTTGGCTTCATTCAATCAATTAAAATATTTGATACGATAAATAGGTTGTACATACCTATTTTATACTTACTTTTATACTCATCATCATTTTTACACTGTTTTTACTAATTATCACTTCTACACTGATTTCACTTGTCATTGACGAACCAAGTCCACTGATTTTTGTTATGCTGATTTCACTTGTCACTGATGAACCAAGTCCACTGATTTTTGTTACGCTGATTTCACTTGTCACTGATGAACCAAGTCCACTGATTTTTGTTACGCTGATTTCACTAATTATCACTTCTACTATGATGTCACTTCTACACTGATTTCACTTGTCACTGACGAACCAAGTCCACTGATTTTTGTTACAGTGATTTCACTAATTATCACTTCTACTATGATATCACTAGTTGTCACTTCTACACTGATTTCACTTGTCATTGACGAACCAAGTCCACTGATTTTTGTTACACTGATTTCATTAATTATCACTTCTACTATGATATCACGAGTTGTCACTTCTACACTGATTTCACTTGTCGCTGACGAACCAAGTCCACTGATTTTTGTTACACTGATTTCACTAATTATCACTTCTATATGATATCACTAGTTGTCACTTCTACACTGATTTCACTTGTCATTGACGAACCAAGTTCACTGATTTTTGTTACACTGATTTGACTAATTATCACTTCTACTATGATATCACTAGTTGTCACTTCTACACTGATTTCACTTGTCATTGACGAACCAAGTTCACTGATTTTTGTTACACTGATTTGACTAATTATCACTTCTACTATGATACCACTAGTTGTCACTTCTACACTGATTTCACTTGTCACTGACGAACCAAGTCCACTGATTTTTGTTACACTGATTTCACTAATTATCATTTCTACTATGATACCACTAGTTGTCACTTCTACACTGATTTCACTTGTCATTGACGAACCAAGTTCACTGATTTTTGTTACACTGATTTGACTAATTATCACTTCTACTATGATATCACTAGTTGTCACTTCTACACAGATTTCACTTGTCACTGATGAACCAAGTCCACTAATTTTTGTTACACTGATTTCACTAGTCATTTCTGTTACATTTAATTTCCCCCATTTTTTGTTTCATTTCAATCAATTAAAATAAACAAGCCTAGCACCTCCAAATCCAACCAAATCCACTGGTCATCACTGGTGAACCAAATCCACTGGTCATCACTGGTGAACCAAATCCACTGGTTATCACTGGTGAACCAAATCCACTGGTTATCACTGGTAAACCAAATCCACTGGTTATCATTGATAAACCAATTTCACTGGTTATCATCACTGAACCAATTTCACTGGTTATCACCGATGAACCAATTTCACTGGTTATCATCATTGACCCAATTTCACTGGTTATCACTGTTGAACCAATTTCACTGGTCATCACTGATGAACCAATTTCACTGGCCGTCACTAATGAACCAATTTCACTGGTCATCACTGATGAACCAATTTCACTGGTCATCACTGATGAACCAATTTCACTGGTCATCACTGATGAACCAATTTCACTGGTTATCACTGATAAACCAATTTCACTGGTCATCACTGATAAACCAATTTCACTGGTTATCACTAATGAACAAATTTCACTAGTTATCACTAATGAACCAATTTCACTGGTCATCACTGATAAACCAATTTCACTGGTCATCACTGATAAACCAATTTCACTAGTTGTCACTAATGAACCAATTTCACTGATCATCACTGATAAACCAATTTCACTGGTCATCACTGATGAACCAATTTCACTAGTTGTCACTAATGAACCAATTTCACTGGTCATCACTGATAAACCAATTTCACTGGTCATCACTGATAAACCAATTTCACTGGTTCATCACTAATGAACCAATTTCACTGGTCATCACTAATGAACCAATTTCACTGGTCATCACTGATGAACCAATTTCACTAGTTATCACTGATGAACTAATTTCACTAGTTATCATTGATTAACCAATTTCACGGGTTGTCACTGATGAACCAATTTCACTGGTCATCACTGATGAACCAATTTCACTGGTCATCACTGATAAACCAATTTCACTGGTCATCACTAATGAACCAATTTCACTGGTTATCACTGATAAACCAATTTCACTGGTCATCACTGATGAACCAATTTCACTAGTTGTCACTAATGAACCAATTTCACTGGTCATCACTGATAAACCAATTTCACTGGTTATCACTGATAAACCAATTTCACTGGTCATCACTGATAAACCAATTTCACTGGTCATCACTGATGAACCAATTTCACTGGTCATCACTGATAAACCAATTTCACTGGTCATCACTAATGAACCAATTTCACTGGTTATCACTGATAAACCAATTTCACTGGTCATCACTGATAAACCAATTTCACTGGTTATCACTGATAAACCAATTTCACTGGTCATCACTAATGAACCAATTTCACTGGTCATCACTGATGAACCAATTTCACTGGTCATCACTGATAAACCAATTTTACTGGTCATCACTAATGAACCAATTTCACTGGTCATCACTGATGAACCAATTTCACTAGTTGTCACTAATGAACCAATTTCACTGGTCATCACTGATAAACCAATTTCACTGGTCATCACTGATGAACCAATTTCACTGGTCATCACTGATGAACAAATTTCACTAGTTATCACTGATAAACCAATTTCACTAGTTGTCACTGTTGAACCAATTTCACTAGTTGTCACTAATGAACCAATTTCACTGGTCATCACTGATAAACTAATTTCACTGGTTATCACTGTTGAACCAATTTCACTAGTTGTCACTGTTGAACCAATTTCACTAGTTGTCACTAATGAACCAATTTCACTGGTCATCACTGATAAACCAATTTCACTGGTTATCACTGATGAACCAATTTCACTGGTCATCACTGATGAACTAATTTCACTGGTTATCACTGATGACTAATTTTACTAGTTATCACTGATGAACTAATTTCACTAGTTATCATTGATTAACCAATTTCACGGGTTGTCACTGATGAACCAATTTCACTTGTTATCACTGATGAACCAATTTCACTGGTCATCACTGATGAACTAATTTCACTGGTTATCACTGATGAACTAATTTTACTAGTTATCACTGATGAACTAATTTCACTAGTTATCATTGATTAACCAATTTCACGGGTTGTCACTGATGAACCAATTTTAATTTTTACCTCCTGTTCCAAAATTTCTAATGCTAAACACCATGCAAAAAGTGGTGTTATGTTTGTCTTTGTTCAAAATTTTTAAATGTACTTGAAAATATCATCTTTACTTACTTGACCTGAATTTCATCTGAATATTCAATTTAATAAAGATGATTGCTGAAGGTCAAAGTCACTTAGTCTCCATCATCAACATTGATTTATTTAACTTCTAGGGAATGATTGACGTGATTTAATTGAGGGAGAGGATAGATTTCTCATGGGTGTTTTTAAAATATCTATAGTAGACTGGTCAAGTCATTTTCCATTCTACTGTTCGTCTAGCTCAAATACCATGAGTGATTTACTATCCTTCCATAGAAACCTTTAAAGTCTTATGTTGTGTGTTAAAATCATTTGAAATGTTGTGGTATGTGCGCCCTTTTACAGTCCACATATCAGTT